TCAGGATGTGGCTGACGTAGTAGATCGGAAGTTGTTCGTCGGAGCTTTCCTTGACCAGGACGGAACTGACTGCGTGTGTGGAGGCCGCTAAGTAGAGGCCTAGCTTCTCCCTGGGAGAAACAGAGGTGAGTCGAGGGAGGCTGGCCAGGTGCTGCTTTATTTGTTTGAAAGCTTCTTCGCACTCCATCGTCCACCGGAAGCTTTTCGGGTTCTTGAACGCCCTGAAGAAGGGGAGGCAACGATCGCTCGACCGAGCGAGGAAGCGAGACATGGCGACAAGCCTTCCGTTAAGGCGCTGTAAATCTTTAATCATCCGAGGCGACTGCATGTCGATGATTGCCTGAACCTTCTCTGGGTTGGCGTCAATTCCTCTTTCATGTATGATGACCCCGAGGAATTTTTCGAAGGTGACGCCGAAAGCGCACTTTGTGGGGTTAAGTCGCATGCCGAACTTGCGTAGTGTGGCGAACACCTCGGTCAGGTCGGCAATGTACGTTCCGGCCTCTTGGCTTTTCACGATCATGTCGTCTACATAAACTTCCATGTTCCTCCCGATCTGATGGGCGAACATCTTGTTCACCGTTCTCTGATATGTAGCTCCAGCGTTTTTCAACCCGAATGGCATGACCTTATAGAAATATACCCCTTGATCGGTGAGGAATGTCGTATGCTCTCTGTCTTCGGGCGCCATCCTGATCTGGTTGTATCATGAAAAGGCGTCCATAAAAGAGAGGCGTGAGTGTCCGGCCGTTGCGTCGACCAGTTGGTCGACCTTCGGGAGGTGGTAGTAGTCTTTCGGGCATGTATTGTTGAGACTGGTATAATCAACGCACATCCTCCAGCTTCTATTGTGTTTTTTCACGAGGACTACATTGGATAGCCATTGTGGATATCTGGCTTCTTCTATGAAGCTTGCCACTAAAAGTCAGCCCACCTCTTCTTGTATGGCGCGTTGTCGGTCAAGGGCCTGCCGCTTGGGTTTTTGCTTCACCGGGCGAGCGTCAGGTGGGATGTTGAGATGATGCTGTGCGATCCCTGGATCAACACCCGTCATGTCAGATGAGGACCAGGTGAAGACGTCGGTATTTTCCCGTAGGAGACCGACGAGCTGCTCTCGTTCCCGCTCGGGCAGTTCCGAACCGACCTTGACCGTCTGGTCTGGCCGAGCTTCTTGCAGTGGTATATCAACGGTGGATCCCCTCGGCTCGGGATGGGGGGCCAGTTTTTTTGTTTCCCGCAGATCCTCCAGTGGTGGTTCGATCCTGGCCCTCTTGTGTAACGAGACGACGGTCAGGTAGCAGCGCTTGGACTCTCGGGGGCTTCCCGTAACTTCCCCGACCCCAGCGAGAGTCGGGAACTTGATAGTTTGGTAGTAGGTTGAGACGACGGCTCTGACTTTGTTGAGGGTCGGCTGACCGAGTATGGCATTGTAAGCAATGGGAAGGTCGACCACCAGAAAAGTGGTCATTACCGTCTTCGACCTTGGCGGGGCCCCTAAGGTTAAGGGCAGGGTGATAGCTCCCAGTGGAGATATTGAGTCTCCAGTGAATCCGGTGAGCGCTAAGCATATCGACTTCATATTCTCCCTAGCCAAGCCAAGATTCTGAAAGGCGTCGAAGTAAAGTATGTCGGCCGAGCTCCCAGTGTCGACCATGATCTTTCTCACCTGCGTGTTGGCTACCCTGGCCGATATCACGAGAGCGTCGTCGTGCTCGGGTTGCTCGGATACTCCGGTCGGGAAAGTAATCTCGGGCTCGGGCCCATGTCCGGGGGCTTCGTCTGGGGCGGCTCGGGCGTACGCCTTTCTTCCTGACATGGAG